TCACGAGAAAAGGAGACAGAAAGCTCGCGACATGGACAGGGCACATGGCATGATGCGAGCTGCGGAATCTATGGCATCCAAAGTTGCTTGGAGAGTTGCTCTGGCAGTAGCCGTGCCCTCACCTAGAATTCTTTGCAGGAGCCCTATAAGGCGGCATTCTTCAATTTGACCTCAGGTCTCCCACATTACAATCATAGCAGCCACGAGAAAAGGAGACAGAAAGCTCGCGACATGGACAGGGCACATGGCATGATGCGAGCTGCGGAATCTATGGCATCCAAAGTTGCTTGGAGAGTTGCTCTGGCAGTAGCCGTGCCCTCACCTAGAATTCTTTGCAGGAGCCCTATAAGGCGGCATTCTTCAATTTGACCTCAGGTCTCCCACATTACAATCATAGCAGCCCAAGAGAGTCTGGTGGTGAGCCTTCCTCAACTGAAGACTAGAGGAAGACATTTTCCAACCAAACAAGACCAATTTCTTGGTGTCTATTTCTGAGCATAGCTCTGGGTTGTCCCTGACGTTCCCTGTGGTTAACCACTTCAACCACCAGGGAATTTGGGGCAGGATGGAAACAGAAGTATTCATGCCCCTTTATCAGGACAGAGTACTTACCGCTTAAAGATTGGCGGGGGGGGGAGAAGAGGGGGTTTGTCACAGGGCATTATTTTATATATCCTTTCATGAAGGGAAAGGGGCATCTTTGCAGGGGCTATGGAGGAAAGGATGTCAAACAGGAAATCCACCTGCTCCTCCAATTCCTAAGCATGCAGCCTAAAGTTGGATATGACCCTTCTTAGAAGTTCCTGGTGGTGCCTTGGCATCATCCTGAGCTACAGGGTGAGGGGTCCCACTGATGGCTTTGTCTTGCAACAATCAGAAGGCAGGTACTGTGGCTTCCATGGTACTCACTGGTGGTCCAGTAGGTTGATTGCCTTCATCCACATGGACTTAGGAGGGAGGGCCACCAGACTCTCTGAAACTCCTGATAATGAGCGGGTGGGTTGGAAGCACCGAGTGAACCACAATGGGGTCCAGTAGTATCACAGAGCCAGCCACTGGGCATTTTTCAGTCCTTGCGATATACATGACATTGAAGGTCTAGGAGACTGCCCCAACAATATTGGGCCCTAACTCCATACTGGAGCAGTATCTGGAGCGGTCAGTATCCAGCAAACAGGATCTACTAGAACTACAGTGTCCACAGTTGCATTTAAAAAAGCAACAGTCCAACTGTGATGTGCCCCTCCCGAGAACATTGGTGACCACCGCTGCTTGGCGGATCTGCAACCGGAGACCAGTGATCCATATGTCACATTCCAAGACTTGTGCCAGGATAAGGAGCGAGACCTAAATCAAGGAGTTTCATGGACCAGATGCCAGGGGACGTCCCAAAATATGGTGGAAGCCATCTCAGGGAATGATGGCGGGACCTGCAGTTCTTGATGTGAAAATGTCCCAAGGATTGGAACATTAATTTCTCCCACAACCACATTTACGCTTTCTCCCATGCCACCTCTTCCATGTGCAGGGGAAAAAAAATCCATAAAATCAACACTTCATCATGTCCGTCCCCCCCACCCAAAAAAATTACACCTACAGTACTGACATCTAATAATAGTTAGGCATTACATAATGCAGAATTTTGTGGAAATTAATGTGCATCCAGAATCTCTTTTTCCCCCACGGAAATGGGTAGAACTCTGCATGGATAAAAAAAACTTGGATCCGCATCCACTAGCCTCAACTCATTATTGAGTGTGCAAACTGGATTTTACTTGAATCCCCATCAACACAGCAAATCATCTGGAGGGGAGGGAGAAAGAAGCACAGATGAATAAGGAAGGGGCAGAGTCATGCAGGGAAGAGGCAGGTAAGGCAGTATGAAAGCAGAGACTGGGAGTAAAGGGTAGTAGACTGGAGATAAGGGGCAGCAAGGTGGGACAGCAGGGACCCATGACAGCAGAGGGCTGGGTAGGCTAGCTGTCAGACCCTCCTGCATACAGATTTAGGATAGAGTTTGTTGCATCCTTTCACTGCCAGCATACAGGGGCCTGTGCTGGCGACCTCCCTCCACCTGATGGCCAGGTAGGCGGGGAAGCCCTACGCAGGAGATATAAAATAAAGCCCTGCTCCACTATCCGTAAATATGAAGCAAATAGCCACAGATAAGCAGGGTTTTAGAAACGAGCTGCACAGATGCTGGCTGCCAGTAAGGGCTGATGGACCCAGCAGAGTCCAGTATGCAAACAGAAAATAAGACCAGAGGATTGGAGGGAACTCGAGGGTTCCCAGCAGCTGCAGTTCCCAGCACACCCTGAAGGAAGGAAGCAGTGTGCAGGAAAAATCCATGCAAATTCAGGCACCAAAAACAAGTTGTTTCTCCCTCTGGATACTTGGTTTTGAGGGGTAAAGGGTTAAGTGTGTCTGGGCTGGGTGTGTACGTTTGTGAGTCTGCTTTCTGGGAAGCAGTGAATGTGAACATAAGTGGAGGAGTAGAGGCACAGCTGGGCTCTGTGAAGGAAGAGGTGGGAGGGGGCAAAGAAAAAGGAACTGGACTGTTGTATGGCAACAATGGGCAACTTAGACTAGTGAATGAGCTGCATGAGTGACCCTCCATCTCAATGAGCCACAAGATTGTTGTAACCAAGACTATGTCCTGGGATAAGATAGTTTTGCTAACTGCACGTAACATACTTAGAATTTCTGGGGTGTGCTGATTGAACCGTAGCAGCGTTTTCACTGGATGCAGATGGAGCTTTTACAGTCAATGCTATGTGCAATCAGCATGCACCTCAATTCATGTGCATTTGCTTTGCGTGTATATCACTTTAGTATTACTAGAACAAAGAAATGCCATTAATGGAAAGCAGGGGAATCTCTGCTCACCACTGCATAAAAGGTTTCTTAACTCTCAACTACTGGGAGAATGTGTGTCTGTATTGTTAGGAAGCCTGCTAAAAAGCCAGTGGGCTCTTGGATGATCGAGATGCTAAATGAGACTGACAAATGGATAAAAAAAAATGGACTTAGGAGGGAGGGCCACCAGACTCTCCGAAACTCCTGATAATGAGCGGGTGGGTTGGAAGCACCGAGTGAACCACAATGGGGTCCACCAAGTTATCCACCAAAGTTATC